TAGGTGATAGTTCTTGATTACTTTTTGATAAATAATTCGTTCTTATTGCGAAATAGGAGCACTATTTATCAATCTGTAATAGAAGACGTGAGGTAATTCTATCTTTTTTAAAGACAAAAGTTTTGAGGCGAAATACCCAAAAAGAAGTTTGTAAAAAAATGAATCCGCCTCAACAATATAGAACATTCTTTTGATTTGAACCTAAAGTTCACCACAATGTCTTAATCATCTAGCACCATTTGCCAAAGACTTGAACTAAGTGAGCTGGTAATAATATTATTACCTCCTTATAACTAGAAAACTGCCGATCTCGACAGCAACTAATGCAAAAAACTGATGTATTTTTTTCTTACTTAGGTAGACGCGGATATTGATCTACAAACAACACTGCCCATGTCGATACCATCAGTGACGGTACACCCAGTACCAATGGGCACAATCGCCGAAGTAGTAAGATATCCAGAATACCCAGAATATCCGCATATGCATTCCCATTCACACACATTTCGTGGATCTCCTCGCGGAATTCTGGAGACAGAAATCATGCCCACTCGTCCCATGAGAGATGCCAGTACTAGTCAGTACTATTATGGATGACCTGAGTTTTCGGGGAATGAACCAGTTCCCCGAAGTGTACAAATTCAGCGAGAGGAAAAGAAAAATAGTAGCCATTTTGTATGCCAAGAACAGCGTACCTATTGTTTCTAAGTTGGTTAGCAAGAAAATATTCAGGGTAGTAGAGAAATTACTGATGGATCTTAGTGGATGGAAGCACAATTATTATGAAACTAAGGAATTTACTTCAACCAAACTACCACAATAAAAGAAAACAACGTCCTAAGAACAGTGCAGTTAAAACTGGTAATTGTGCTTCAAACGACGTGGAGAAGCTAGAATTCACTACAGAGGCGACTTTCTGTGTTTGTATCTCTCATCTCAGGGGCTTAATTTTTTTTCATCTCCTCTGCAAAAGCAAGTTTTAGTTGTGCTTTTGAACGGTTGCACAATTGAATAAGGGTTCTATAAAGTATGTTTATTCGTAACGTTTCAGGTATTTTATTATATCAACTTACAATTAATCTGAAATAGCATGTGGAAATTACTTAATGTGTTTCTATCCGCTTTGGGCAAATTCGTCACTCAACAAATGACCCCAGAAGAAGAATTTTACAAGCTGCTTTGCTAGTAATGAATTCTTTTAACTTGACTGTACTTGCTAAATAAAACGCAATAAACCGGTACGTACATTTGATTTTGCAGCGTTTATTCTACTTCTGGCGTTAAGGGTTTTCATTTTGTGGCAACACTCTCTAGCTTCTACTACATTTGCTGTGTTACTCAACTTCCAAGAAATACTTTGTTTCAATACACACATATTTTTAAGAAGATCGCATACATTAAAATCTGTATTGTATATAAAGTAATCTAAGGTGATCGTATGTATGTTTCTAACTTATACCCATTACTCATAAGGATTTAGCATTACTGAAATGTTACAGTCAATAAAGCGCACCTCTGCAATTACAACTTTCAAATTTATGGTTAATTTCAATCGATCTTATATGTACTACTAGAAGTTAAGTTGCAGTTTTTCACCTGGTTGTCTTCAAACAATCAACAATCCGGTAAAATGGAATCAAATCTACGCTGAACAAATGATTTTGTAAATAATCGAATTGCTATTTTGGCTGTTACACATAAAAACAATGGGTCGAGCAAAAACTGTTCTGCTCTAAGAGTGTAAGCGTAATACAATTTCGAATAAATTTTAATCTGTTTAAATATATCTGTATATAGCATAGGTATTGTTTTATGTAAATGACAGGCGTTGATGTTTATATATTTTTTTAAATAAAACCATCAAATATCCAAATATTCATTATTCAAATAATAACGGATCATCAATGATTCAAGTGTTGGAAAACAATGATAACACATTTACGGATGCTTTGAAGCTTCATGAGTTGCTTTAACCGTAATTTTGAAAATACTTTTAATACAACTTTATTTTGCAAGTAAAAATTATACCTATAACTCTCACTAGAATAAATAAAAATATAATAATAAAAGGATAATGAGCAAAATTAGATAATCTAAACGATATCACTTTGCAGATTGACCACCAACATTCACTCAATTCACCGTTCAATCAAAACACGCACCCACAAGCACCAGCACATATGTGGAAAAAAGCAACCAAATTTGACAAAAATTCAAACTGCATATAGGATCTGAAAAGTAGAATTAGATTTACTGTTTTCCACTTTTTCCCACCTATGCACCCACTTCAGGTTGGAAATTATTGCCCTAAAACCGATAACAATTAAACTGGCCCACCAATGTCGTGCTGATAGCGCCAAGTCAGGTACTGAGCTGCTTCAGTCATCTGCCGGATTGAACTGGTCAAACCCGTCAAATGCCTCTGAAAGTCATGAGCTATCCTTTCAGTACGGCACTCTTCTTGCACCACTTCTTCGATGCCTGAGTCGTTTTCGTTGCCGCTTCCAGCCTCTGAATCGGAATCACATAATCCAGAAGTGCTCGAGTTTGTCGAAGCTACGCTCACAGTTGATGGTCTACGGATATGACCTTTTATCGACAGTTGTGGTACTGCAAAAACAAATGGTTTGTTTTAGTGGAAAGATACATAACATAATACTTAATGGTACCCCATAAGGATATAAAAAAATATTTTCGCACTTCAGCTCCTGGTAAACCAGATCGCAAAACTGGCGCAATTGCAAAACCACATTATTACATTGTCATATTAAGGTGACATCATTTAAGACAAGGTTTACATATTGTTTTAAACGGATTCGCTCAAACCAACTTGAAATCCTTGCGAATATGCTGGTTCAACAAATATTAACTAATCTTTCCACAAAGTCGATTCAAGTCCGACTTTATTTTTAACGGCCTCAAAAGATTCGATTGACCACGTGTCCAAATAAAAATACATATTGCGTAGAGGGTAAACTTCAAGCATGATACGATATAGATCACGCCTGGTACAATGAACTGAATGTCAACGGGAATCTTTCACTGAAAATATCACTCGAAAATGAGTCACTTGAGAATGGCTAGTAAAAGTGAACTATGCACGAGAATGTTGATAACCTTCTAAAATGATTAGCGCTGTTTCCAAAATGAAATAGAAATGTAAATAAATACAATGCAAAGTTTAATAAATTTGTGATCAAGTGCTTATTGCCTTTAGTGGAGTAATTAATACATGACCTGAAATTAAGAAAAAGGTCTGCCCTGTCATTTCAGAAGTTCAACCACGTAACCAATTTATAGCTAGTCCATAAATAAATGCAAAAATTAAACCGATGGAATGTAGTCGAATACTACGTGGTCAGAAAACCGACACTGGCTTTTCACATTAAACATCGTTAAATATAACGGCAAAAATTTACCTAAAATGGTTTCTTGAATGTCTTCAGATTGTTGAGATTTTCCTCCCCATAGAAGTCCATCTTTCACGTTTTTAAGCATGCTGTAGATCTGGAACAAGTCGGTGGAATCGAGGGTCTGCTGCACGGACGGTTTCTTCTTTAGGTGCTTATCAGATGGATCTTGATCATCGCCAACTTTTAAATCCATCAATCGGCATGGTACCAGGATGGTTTCATCCATTAAATTGACGGTTTTCACAAACTTCTCAATTACATTCATGATGCTGTGCGGTGAACTCTCTGTATCATCGTTTCGTGCAATGCGACGCAGACAGTTTCTGCAAAAATAGAAAAACTGTATTAAACAATCGAGTGTCACCAATTCAATTTGCTGTTCGACTACATCAGCGTTTATTAATGATCATGTTCGTGCTATTTTCTGGGATATTTTAGTTCAATTTATATCCCCTTAAATAATATTGGAAATTAAAGGATTAGGCCGCGAATGAGGAATTATTACAATTATTTATTACATCAGTGCAGTAGTAACAATTTTTGTTGCCGCTTAAAATTTCATAAAATCCTACACAATCCTCCTGCATTCTCTATGATAGGCTGATAACTGTATAAAAGATATATTTAGCTTTGGTCTTTATGTAATAAACATTATCTGTGAGTGAATAATGGACTAAAGCAGATCTGATTCGATCCCATTGTATACTATTAAACGTGAAAAGAACGGATATCAAAGTTTAAAGTGGCGTGGTCGTGGTCAATTTAATGTATAAAATTCCCGAATAAAACGGCGTTTTGTCCCCTGAATAATTGACCAATTTGTGCAAATTGATCTATAAATAAGCTGAGTCAATATAACAGCGCCTAAGAAAATTAGCTTCCAGTTATCCGAACTGGCCAAAAAGTACAACGCAAATTCGTCACAATACATAAGTAGTGCTTCAAGATATAATAATACTACTACAACGCAATTTCAAAATACATGCCATTAGATCAGCCACATCATAACTAAGCGCTGAATGCATTCATATTTAGTGGAGACGAGCTAAGCATAAAATCGAAGCTAAAACGATGACCTAGTTAACCTCGTTGTCACATAAAAATCCATAGCTCCGTTTCTTGATATTTACTACCTTTTGCCCATAGCAGCGCCACTGTTTACATAAGAACTTTTTCCCTAGGATTAACTGGTTTGCATTATTTTTAAAGATACCTCGATGATTAATGATCTCATCAATAAAAATAAACACTTTACTAGGCGCTTCCGTTCAACCCCCATATATGCCATATCGATTGCAACCAGCAGAAAAATCATTCTTACTGGTGATATTTCCATTAGAAATCAAATTATTTCGAGGATTTGAGAATCACCCAAATGCTTCATAATTTTATTAATAATTATCAAAAATAGAAGATCATTAAATAAATTATTCGTCCCATTTCCATTGCTTTGAAGTCCAGGCAATGAAATTAATTAGGCTTTTATAAATAGGACGGCATTTCAAAGGAGAATAGCAGCCAAAACAAAAATAAATTCGTTTTCAATTGAAATCGATTGAATTTGAATTATTCCAACAGCTACTTCACTACCTCATTACAAACCAAAGCAATAGCTGAAGTATTCGATCAGTATGTTTTATTTGTCATTTATAATAACTTTAATAATAAGATAGTAAAAAATATAAAAAAGTTAATAAATCAATGGAGCATTGAAGTCGTTCATATTTATTTTGACTAGTAGTACTCATAAATTATGTTGCAATGGTTAAATGAACGTATCGATATTATTCATTGAATCAAGCAGTACCAATTTACAACGTGTAAAAACGCATCGCGCGGAATACGGTAAATCCACTTTCTATGAAAATTAATACCTAACCATGGCGAATTCATAAATATTCTCCCATAGCGGGTTACTTAACCAATTGTTGCAAGAGAATTAATTGGGTTAATTGCGAGCAGACTAAACAGACTAAAACACTAAAAAAATTAGGCTTTCGCGGGCATTGCTTGAAAGTGGCGAAGTTTTCGGGTTTTCAGGCCGACGTGGACTCGATTTTTCCCTGACGTTTCGCCAGCCCGAGAGGCTTGCATCTCCCGACGTGGAGGCTGCGCTGAGCAAACCACCGTCCGATTAAATATATTAGTTGAGATTTTGAGTTTGGCTCAGTTAATCAATTAAGACTGACCTGTCGGTCCCATTTTCCAAAAATCCTTCGGTTTGACTCCACAAAATCAACATATTCAATAAGACAACACAAATAGTCAAATAAAAACAACACTCGACTTGCAACTGCTAACAGTTTCAAACGATCAGCACTTACTAAACCAGTTTCCAACTCGATCCTCAATAAATATACTGAAAAAACACTTGTGGTGGGGAGGGGTTCGAAATGACGCAAAACGAAGATGTTTATCGTGGAAGGAGCAACTAACGTCTTTGACAACTTACATTTTTTATATTACCATTTTACATTAATTGCTCATGCCTACAGTTTATCATCACAATCATTGAAAAGATACGGAACTGGCAAATATTTATAATCTCATCAACAATTAACTCACTAATATTCAAAATATGTACTTACGTAGTACAATAAGGCATATTAAATAGTAACGACTAGACAGATAATCACAAACGTTCAAAATTATAACCCAGACTGAATAATTGGAAGTAGATAGGAAAGTGTTTAAGGTCATGTAGTTTCTCATTTGGATCAGATTTAATTATTTACAAACAAATGAAAAAATATAAACATTAACCAAAAATATGGCAATGGGAGGGAATCAATCTTTCAATAACTATTCCTTGCTTTACAACATCTAGAGGCGAAAAATTAACGACTCCACACGCGCTTGTACCGCCACTCTTCAATGATCAATTACAAGATTTTACCTTCAATTGCGTTATCGCAAATTTGTTTAACAAGTTCACTTCCGACATATAGAGCGAGGTCTAAAAGTCAATGCGTTATTAAAACATGTTGATATAAACCAAAACAATACGATGTACGAAAAATTGATTTGCACAATGAAACATTGAACCTTGATCGAACAGTTCAAATTTTGAAAATAATATTTTTGTCACCTCACGCACGACCTGAACCATTTGAACGCTTAAATTTTAGAATATGCCTACTTAGCCTCGAACGCACAAAAAATATACTTATTATTCTTTTAAAATCCAAATTGTAATCGTATCATTAGGGGAGTTTCCATACTTCCAACGTTAGAAACTACCAGAGTTAGTGGTACTAACTTTAAATGCAGCTCTGTAGTTTGCACAACAACATCACACATAATATGCATGGTCACTATTTGACAAAACTGAAGCTAGAGAGTGTTGATAATCCTCAGCCGTTTACTCAAAACGAAAAAGTGCACTAATTTGTTCTTGTCAGACTTACACGTATAAATATCAGAAAAAAAAATCAACTAGTGGGGGCCGATTTTAGCATTTTAAATGATTACGTAAATGAAACATGGAAAATTAAGGGTGCGAACTGTTGGTTATTCATGACCAACTTTACTATTGTTTCCAGTGATTTTAATTTATAAAAAGCATCGATTCGAATACCAAAACATTTGTCTTGTCCTCATTCATTAACCCCGGGAATTAAAATCTGGCTAAATCAATGACAATGTTTGTTGTTAGTGAATCTGGCGACTTAAGAAACTCTTTAAAAAGAAAATCAACAGTGCAACTTGCAATGACGGCAGCGATTGTATAATTTATCGAATGTCATAAAAACTTACAGCAAACAAAACATCACTAATTGAATATTTATGTGTGATGTCGTTATAAAATTTGCAAAATCGAAAAAAATATGACTTGCACTTATGTTACATACATAATCTCTTGAATCAGCCATGGCGACTGGAATTTTTGAAACTAAATAAACTGAACTTAACTGTCACAGTGCAAACACTTGCAAAATAACACCTCAATATTTGCAGATTATTGAAGTATCAATAAGCCATACCTATTTACAAAAAGAAAATTTCCAACTCTCTCGAATATTCTCTAATTAATGTGGGCAGTAAATTGTGGGTTTCGCAGGAAAACCTACAAAAACTTTATTATCTACTAGTAACAACAGGGTTTCAATCGCAATCATGCAGCGAAAGGGGAAGATTTTTTTTGTCAAATTAATATTGATAACAATCATGCATCATAGAACTTGCATGTTTACCGCACGCGTTTGCTAGATTATGTTAATTAGGGAATATTGAAATAATCGCTTACTCGAATTGAGCTTCGAAATTTCATATATTAATTCAATATAATTATAAATATTGAACTAAGCAACTAATTTTATTTCTGATTTCATGGGAACACTGGAAAGTTTCTTTTGAAATTCTTGAACTTGGTAGACATCCGCACAAATTTCCATAAAATCCAACAAACATGATAAAGAATAATAAATAACACCATGTTCTTGATGGACCAAACAAAGCAAAATGGTAGTTGAAAGCGAAACTAACTGCCTTGAATGTATATCTTGAACTGGTAATTTAGCATGTAAGATTAGCCAAAAATTGTTTACATAATTTGAAGCAAATGAAAGTGAACGCTTCTACGACATTATTCGATAAACACAGGTCACCAAATTGCCATATTATTTGTACAAGTGCCTGAAATTGGATCATTATTTTCTAACAATTGCAGTCATTTTGCAGATAACCAACCTTGCGTTGATATTTCGGTGTAGTTTAATTATAAGTGGGCTTGGGTGTTATCGGGAAAGACATTTTCGGAAAAACACGAAATTGCCTGCTAAAAAGTATTAGTTTTTACATCATAAGCATATGTGCCATATTTTTTGATATTTAATTGTCATTATATTTAATTGTTCTCCAATCGCTCTCCACGAGCGCTTATTAACGCGTACGAAAAAACGCATATAAATGACCTCAAACTTTCACCAGCTTCTGGTGGAAGTGCAGATGTATGCAATCAAAGGAATGGCGTATACATCAGCATTTTGTTGATCATTATTGAGAGGCAATATTCATCTCTTGCTAACCCGATTTCCGCATTTTTCCATACTGAACAACAAAATGCGGAAGCGAATATTTATTGCAATTTCGTATATTTGGTGACCTCTCTGCCTACACAAACAATGTTCGACTTAGCGCTAGTTCAAACGAAAATTTGCCAATGAAACAAAACGGAAGATATTAAACAAAAATGTTCAATTTGTTTGTTGCAGCGGAATAAACCTTATGCTGTGGAATGCAGCGATGTAATTATTCAGCAATTAAAACCATTGTCCTCATGCAATATATGGGGCCATTGTTCCCCGGGCATCATTTTTCGCAA